CTACTAGACTATCATCCTTGCAAATCAGTCTGCCAAATTTCGAACTGTAAATGTACAAACAATTTAATAAAGTTTACAATTTGTCAATGAACTTGCTACTATGATATACGTATTTCAGTAAATTTTTTCTATCGTTACAGTGATCGATGAAACTTGGCAGACTTGTACGTAAGAGTATTAAAACAACTAGACATTATCTATAGAATACAGTTTCTATTTAATCGCACTAAAGTGCATAAAAATCGCAACGTCGCGTATTAAAGGTTAACCCTAGCGAATGTAACAGAATCCTAAGCGACGGTGAGAAACAGCCGTTCATAGAGGAAGCTGAGAGGCTGAGGAACGCGCACAAAAAGCAACATCCGCATTACAAGGTGACTGTCGACGATCGTTCTAAAAATGGTTGTTCTAGTTCTACTATTCTCGCCGGGTAGGTGCCGCCTAAAAGTTAAATCATAAAATGCCAATTACAGTATCAGCCGCGTCGACGGAAACCGAAAACTGAGGAACAGATGGGCATCGTGATGCACCGGGCTACTCTGTCCTCTCCGGGCACGTCGGTGGACTCCGCGAATTCATCCGACTGCATCTATCCTCGCCTGTACCCAGACACCGGGATCAAAACGTACGACAGGCCAACTTATCACGATAGCAAAGCCAGCTACGATCTCTCGAGATCGGCCTGGACCACCGACTCCGGCAAATACCCGGTCGATCATTCGATCGTAGAAAGTAAACCGTACGACGCTATGAGATACGAGTCGAACGTGGCAACGAAAAGCTACGTGGACACCAAGGGCTACGAAACGGTCAAATATCACGAGGTATCCACCGCCGCGAAATACCACGAGACGATTCCAAAGTATTCCGAGTTGCAAGCGAAGCCTTACGATCTACCCAAATACCCGGAGAATCCCCTAAAATATCCCGCGGATGTTACCAGCCCGAGCAAATCGTACGCGTGCGTACACAGCCAGTATTACTCCGCTCCCGAGGGATACACCGTGCACGAAGAGAACGAGTACCAAACGCAAGGAGTCTCGACCCACTCCTTTTATCCATATATCTCCGCGTCCATGACGCAACCCCCTTACTACATGGGTCCTCGATAAATCGGTCTCGAAGAAAAAGAAAAAAAAAAAAAAAAAAAAAAAAAAGAAAAAGAAAAAACGAGCGTTTCATT